TTTTACGCGATTTACAAATTATTATAAAACGGTTTATTATTTCGTTTACTAAAATTTGTTTTCTGGAATACCTTTGCAGGGAAAAATTGTTCTAATATTTAAAAATTCATTTAAAGAACAAAATTACAGCAAATAAATATACGTATATATATTTCCAACCACTGGTGAAAAGTCTTAGGTGGTCGATACAACACTCGATGGGTGCTCAATGGGTATATGCGAGCTGTGTGCGGTGTGCGGGCTCGCCCGACTTGGGCCAAATATTCTAAATTAGTGATGGACTTACGTTTCCGATTACTGTCTAGTCTAGTCCTAGGTGCGTATAAGCATGCAAGGTATGGTTGGGGTACGGCGTTGTTTAATTCAGCGGCCACGGGCTAGGTAGGGGGAGTTTCAAAGGAGGTAACGTATTATAGATTTAATTTTATAAGAATTGTCAAATCACTGTATAATATATACACAAATTTTTGTTTATTCTGCAAATTTCAGGGTGGGCGCTGGCCACCCTGCCCACTCCGACGAGCCGCCACTGAATTCTGACATGTGTTTTAGCTAATATTGACCTATAGGAAGAGATTCTACCACTTTCTGGTGTGAGAATCGTGAGATTCGTTGAAGTTTTTTATTTATTAACAATGAAGTGCAAAAAATGCAAATTTTCGCAATTTTTCGACCGTTTCGGCGTTTCCATACAAATCAGCGAGTCTGTATTAAAAAAAAACGATAAACACCCCCGTGGAGGAAACGTTAATACGCCTCCCGAACCTCTCGTAACTGGTCGACCGTCTTGCAGACTTGAAGCGGAAAGCGATCGCTGCTGGCGTTGTGTTCTCAGTTCTCAGTTGGCGTGTAACTTCCACTGGTGGTTGTCGTCGTCAAGCGTCGATCATCCGTCAATTAAGAGTTGGGGCAAAATTAAGAACCGCCGCTCCAGTCGGTGACATGAGTGCGGTGTGTCCTAAGATGGGGTGTTTCGTTTACATTTACAAGTAAGGGTGTCGTGTGATTTCTTCGACTAGTGAGCAGCTGCTGCCAGGATTTCTTTATTTCTTTAGAGGTAAAGTAATGAAAGTCGGTACGCATGGTACATTCACGTTATCGGCAGACTGATTGCTGTAACACTTTATTTATTAATCTGGCGATCTTAAGAGATGTTAAAAAAAATATCTAGGTTTAAGTGCGTTGGTACGTAATACATTTCTCTAATTAGGGCTGCAAAAGAAAAGCAAACTGGTTTTATTTATTAGATTAATATGTTGTATTTTTTTTAAGGCGTTATCTTTGTAATATTAATTATTTCACTTAATCATTTTCGTTTTGTTGTGCTTTTGAAACAAATAGACGTATTTTGATAACAGAAAATTGTTTTTCCAAGTGTAACGTGATCTAAGACCACCACAGCTAATCGTAAACTACCCGTTGAAAAATGAAACAAACAAGACAAACCGGAAAAAAATAGCACCATTTTGTATAAAATGATTCTTCTTAAAGGCCATAACTTTCCTAATAGCAACAACTATTTTCACGTAAAATTTGAACAGAAATTAGCCAAGTGGGTGGCAGGTCTGAACTTTTTAAAAAAGTCGTTGGAAGTGAGTTGCCAATGACCAAGAGGTAGGTCGAAAATAATATAAACAATGAAAATAATATAAGGTTGCACCAAGAAAAAAAGTTGTGCTATTTGCAGAAAAAATTAAGAACTGCAAAAATACTCAAAAATGACGTGTTTTTCTAACATTTTCCAATATAACTTCTTACATATGTAGTTTACAGAAAAAACTAATACTGATGAAATTGTTTGTTATGAAATTTGCTATATTGATTGATATTCATTGAATTTTCATATAAAAAGCACACCTGCGATAATATTTATAAAAGCACATACGAAATGTTCTTTAAAAACCTACAAAATTCAATCTTTTGTTGTTACATTATGCATAGTTTTGCAGCTAACGCTTGTTGACTTTGACACTTGATATCTCGGAACTTATTCGACCGATTTGAACGTTTTTTTTTTTTTCAAGTTAAGCGTCTTTCCGAGAACTGTTTTGTAGTACTTTAGAATATTTTTCAACCCACAAAACTGCTTCACGAAAGTATTTGTTTATAAAGTCAAAATTTTTCGAACTTTTAAAATCGCTCCAAAAATTTTCAAAAAGAAAGTTGATATTACAACGATTCTATATAATAGTTAAGGGGCCCAAGTATGTGTAAAAAAATCAGCGTCAATTAAAATATCTAACTTTAACCCTAGCACTGACGAAAAAAAATAACGACATTTCGCGCTGAAATTTAGTAACAAATTGTCTTATACCAAAACTATCAGACCGATTTGGATCGGGTTTTGGGATTTCGTTTTGTAATCCTTTAAAGTACTTACATCTAAATTTATAGTAGAATTGGACAATTTCTTACCTATCACTTTCTTATGCTGTTTTGGTTATCTAGCAACAAAAATATGAAATGCGCAGCTATCAAAACAATTCTATCTTATAGAAAATTTCATAACAAACAATTTCATCAGTAATAGTTTTTTCTGTAAACTGCATATTTGGGAAATTATATTAGAAAATGTGAGAAAAAACAGGTAATTTTTGAGTATTTTTGCAGTTTTTATTTTTTTCTGCAAGTAGCACAACTTTTTTCTTGGCGCAACCTTATATTTTCATTGTATATATTATTTTCGACCGATTTTTACTAATATCTAAGTTACGTCAAGCAATAGCCATGCCAATGTGTAATTCTCCTGCACTACATTAGATTATTTCAAAGACTACAAGCTTCTGTTTGAATTTTGAAAATTTGGGACTTGGGGGTGCTCTCTTTAAATAAAATAATGACATTTTTGTAGTACTTCCAGTTATACCGGAAGTCGCTATCTACTAAATGGAATACCCTGTATATTGTTGCATTATCGACAAGATTTATTAAAAATAAGTCAAAAATGTTAAAGCTTCTGTGTACCTAAGTCTAAAGGTCTTCGAGATAATCGACATTTTATAAAAATTTTGACAGATGCAAGCGTTTCGAAAATTCTTTATATCTTTCTTCGTTCTGGAAGCTTTCATTTGCTTTCCGGGAACGCACAAAGAACATACAGCCTATATATGAATTTCATAAGGAATTTTTTTTTAAATAACGCTGTAAGGTATGAAGATATCAAATTTGGTGGCCATCGGTATGAAATTTTGGCACGTTTTTAAAAAGTATCTACCTACCACTTGTTTTTTCATTTATACAGAGCGTTATAAAAATCATTTTACTACCGAGTCTTTGGGTGAAATAACGAGTATTTTTTTTTACCAATTTTAATTTAGGCGCTTGTTTTTCAAGATACAGGGTGTCAAAATTATAATTTAAAAAAATATGTTCGTTAATAACTTGTTTTTTTTTGAGATTCTGCACAGGATTTTATCTTATGCCGGTATATCTATAATTTTGGTTTAAAAAAATATAAGCTTGATTCTTGATTGGAGAAAAAGCGAGAGAAAAAGAGTCATAGTACCCATTAATCCCCCCAAAGTTTGCCTACGTACGCCTGTGGTTCAGTGGATATGTTTTTTAAATCGGGCATTTCCTTCTTTTACTTTTTCCACTTTGCAAAATTTTTATTTGGGACTTGGTTTACGAGATATTGCCAATTTATTGGATATACCTACCCAGGTTTTTTTTTCGAAACTTGGCTTGGTATTTTTAAATAAAATTGTGTATTCTGAAGTATTAACTAATTTTGGCAACAGTTTGGTTAATTTGGTTTTAGACATTTGGATAATTTAATACTAATTAGCGTCATTCCAATGTTGCAATTCAAAAAACAAAACAAACATAAAATGTGTCTACGCAAAGTAAGTCTGTGTAAAATATCAACTTAATATTTCGATAAACAACATTTTGTAAAAAAAAACTTCAAAATAAAAAGACGCAAGAAAAATGACAGTATTACCTCTCAAGAAAAATGTGACTTAAGTTGCTTTTTTCGTAACACTCTGTAGAATATTTACTCTCGTTTTCATTCATTTCAGTTGCAACATATCAAACTATTAGATTTTCAACCAGTTTCTGTTTGTATTTGTAACTTTTTTAATTCTAATGTGATTGTTCATAAATTAAACACAATCGACATAAATGAATATTAAATGAATATGCTGGTATACTGATTAAAGTCGACAATAGTGTCAAAGACGAATGTTTTTACATTATAGGGGTACCGATTTGGGACAATCGATGAACAAGATACTATCGAGTATCAAGGAAAGTATGTTCCAGAGTATGTTGACTTTTATAGACGGCGAATTTGCTTTTTTTAGTTGGAAAAGTAACACAACATAGTCAGTTAAATATACCTAATTAATATGAAGGTTGTATATTTAAAAAGAACTAAAAAAATCCAAACAAAGTTCACTTGCGATACAAATTGCGATTGACGTTTGCTTTGGAAGTACGTCAAACTTTAACATCCTGTATCTTGGCCAAATATTTTACATCTTGTGTAGTAGCAAATTTGGAGCCGCTTGAAATGGGTCTGTGGGTTTTCCTGGTGACCTGATTTCGGATATTTTTACGAAATGTTGGCTAAGATGTAGCATGAGAGATAAACCAGAAGTCTACTTTTGAAATATAGCCAAATAGTCCACTAATACGTACACAAGTGTGTAATTCATGAAAGAAAAAAATATCTTCCAATTTATTCGAGAAAACATATTTTATAATTTTTTTAGATTCAAAATAAGCTTCTTACCACACAGTTAAACAAATCTAGAACAACTGAAGTATAGGTTTCACAAAAAAAATAATGTAGGAATTATTTGTTCAAAATTTATTTTTTTATTTATACTCTACAGGAAATTAAAAAATTATTTTCAGTTTTTTTTTCCGAATTATTGTCTTCAAATTTATATTTGAACTAAAAAATTGAATGTTCCTAAATATACTATAATAAATTTTAAAGCATGATAAATGTTCGGTCGCTACCACTGGGCGCAGGCGTGGTCCGATCGGAGTGATTTCGATGTCGTGTGGAAGTGGTTTGGGTTTTCTACGATTTCGAGGATACAATAGGGAGGAAAATGGTGAACCCTTACATTTTTGTAAAATTGCTGAAGTACGTTATAAGTGAGCTTAGCGCGAAAATTAAGTTTTCTAAAGCACATCTGGTGGGGGGTGATTTTGTGTGTAGCGGCAACAAATCAATATTCAATTTCTTCAATAAAATCATTCATTTTGTTATAAGTTAAACTTGAAAGGTGACAACAATTATTATAAACAAACCGATATGTGACAGATAGCAGTATGCAAAATTGTTTCTCCAGCGCCTTCTATTTGATATGATTTAGAAAGCGGGCACCGTAAACTAAAGACAAAGGCTGAAAGTTCTCTCATTTTTTTTTCAAAAAAAAAATCAAAACGTGCAAAAAAATGTATACAATCCCATTAAAAAAAATATCGATGACGTCACCGGGGCCTTCATAATCAAACAAACTGTATATTCCATAAGTGACTCGAACATATTTTATATTACTATAATGTTTGTACCGTTTGACCCATAGATCAGCTGTTATCTTAAGATTATGTTTATCGGGTCTACATTCTTTTAACGTTTCATTCCAAACGCATTTATGGGGAGACCTTATTGCAGACTCGTCAGTTTACTCGTTGTTATTGTAAAATAACTTAAACTGAGATAGAGGCACTTTACATTTCTTGAATAATCTTTTAAAGTATAGGCTGTTTGAAAAGTGGCGCTGTAGGAACTGCAGAGACAAGTGTGTCAACTTTTTAAACACCTCACAAAACGAAAAGTCAATTGGACCGAGATCTGGTGATCTTGGAGGCCATTTACATTTTATGACTGAAAGAAATTTGGTATTCAAGTTAAATAATATAAAAGTAAAATCGTCGCGATAACTGTCATACTTCTGGGTATTATGTGACGACGACGAATTCTCACACATTTCTAACTATTCAGTAGGACCAGCACAAAATCAATTTAATACGGAGGCAATTAAACGATCGCGTTGTTCGTGGAAATCGAGCTAATGTAATATTTATTCTACCACG